GAAGCCCCTTCCTGGAGGGAGGGACCTGGAGTGACAGAAACCACTGTCCAAAGCCCAGGCAACACACACGGCCTGAGCAAGAGCTCAGGGAGAAGGAGAGGGGTTTCCCTGGGCACTAAAGGCAAAAGGAGCAGCTGGGCACAGTCTGGACTGCAGCTGCGATAGGACGTGGGTGTCCGGGAAAGAGCGCAGGGACACGGGGAGGAAGCAGCAGGCTGTGTGCTGGGAGCCAAGGTTGGGCACCAGCATTTTGCAGCCTGGAGCCACCTGCGGCCAGTCCACTGAGCAGCCTGCAGAGCAGGGCCAGGGGCAAGGGTGACATGTAGGGGGTGCATGGGGGCACACATACACCCCCGAGAGCATTGGTGCACCCCTCTGACCGGCTGCGCTCACCACCTAGGTGATGGGCAGGCGAGGCAGGCGGGAGCAACGGTGCCCCCTGGAAGCACAGGCTGATCGCTGCCACTGCCGCCAGACGCGCCGGCAGCCGTTCCCAAAGCAGCAGCAGCTGCTTCCAGAAATGGCTACAGTGATCAGCCCCTGCAAGCGGCTACAAGGGCCGCCCAGGCAGCAAAACTGGTCGTGGGAGGATGCCCTTGGGCAGCAACCCTCCCACCGGGATCCTCTCTCCCAACGGGCTCCTCTCTCCCACCCCCAGCACCACGGATCAGTCATTTCGTGGTTCCACACCTAGGCCACTTTTCCTGCCCCCACCCTCTATCCTCTGCCTGTGCCCACCTGCCCCTTCACGCCCTGTCCCCTTACCCATCCCACTGCCCCGTCAGGCTCCCTTTGTGTCCATCTCCCAGGCTGTCTCCTCGGCCTAGAGCAAACCCCCTTATCCTGGCCACAGGCAACCTCCACCTCCTCCTCTCAGCCCAGCCCCAAACCCCAGGCCCCCAACAATTTCCCTGGTACCAACTCTCTACCCCCAACCCCTGGACAAGTTTAACTCCCACTCACAGAGGCAGTGCCTGTACAGAGCATCTGGACAAGGCCCCCTGGGCTGGAGGAGACCCGAGACCCAGAGGATGTGACAAGAACAGGAGATGTGGGCTCTGCTACCCGACTTTCTCTCTGAGATTTGCACTCCCACCCGGCCTGCTCACCCCTGCCCTGATGGAGGGTTTCTTGTGCTCTGCACGCAGGGATGGAGGCGCTTGGGCTGCAGGTGCTGGGCCACCACCCAGGAGATTGGGAGTCTCTTCCCTGCTCTGCCAGTGACTCTCTGTGTGACCCTGGGCAAGTCCCTGGAGTCCCCTGGGCCTCAGGCTGGAGAGAGAGGATCATGGGCTGTTCTTGTCTGTCCTGTCCCTTAGATGAGAAGCCACCAGGCAGGGCAGGGTTGTCTCCTACTCCTTGTCCCACCAGCTCCAAGCACGCAGGGCCTGGTCTCAGCTGGGATCTCCTGGCACTGCTGGGATAAACAGCTGCACACTGAGGGCCAGATCCTGCCACATGCACTGATGCTGAGCAGCACTTTGCTTCTCACATCACACGGAGTCACGGTGCCAGCACCTGGCAGGGATCCGACATGGACACGCATGGATGTTGTGCTGCCCCAATGCCCCGTACACTGCTGCCTGCCCCTGCACACACGGGCCTGCCCCTGCACCCCTGCCTTCTCCAGGGTGCAGCCAGAGCCCTGGGAGCTGAGCAGGGGGAGGCAGGGCTTTGGGTCCTGGGGGGGGACACAGCTCCTCTCTCCCTTGGAGGGGACCTCACAGCTCTGGTGGGTGAGGTTTGGATACCCTGTTCCTCACCCCACCACCCCCTGAGGGCATCCAGCCGTGCCCTGTCCTCCATCCTCTACCTGCCACTGCATCACACACAGAGGGAGGAGCGTTTCCAGGGCCGGGGTCAGCAGGGAGCAGCTCAGCACCTCACTAGCAGGAGGCAGCAGAGCCGCCAGGGACGGCAGCTGCACCGGGGTCTGAGGCCCAGCATTTCCCCACAGCCCAGCCCTGGGGGCTCGGGGCAACTTTCTGTCTCCTTGCACCCATGACCCTGCCAGGCAGCACCCCGGGAGTCAGGGGCAGAGCGCGGAGCTAACACACCCAGGGAGATGGGGCCAGGAGGCCAAAAGAAAGGGTTGGCTTCACTCACCTGCATGTCTCTGGGCTTTGGTGAGTCCTGAAAAAGCCAGAAACCAAAGTTCAGACAAACAAGCACAAACCCCACAGGACACGTATCAGTGAGCAGGACATTGCAGAGAACAAAACCAGCACTTACCCAGCTCTGGCGGAGAGTTGCGGGGAAGAACAGAGGGAAGGAAAATGAAAACAGGTCAGTCAGTCGCCATGACCCTCACTGGCAAAGCCGCCCCCGCACGACAGACAGCATGCTGCCTGGTGCAGGTGGCAGGATCGGGTCCCCAGGCCAGAGTTAGGGCCTCTCTTCTCCAGCCCCTGTACTGTGATGCTCTCCCACCCTGGTCCTAGGAGCCAGTGGGGCTGCCCCGGGGGGAGTTACTCACGGGTGCAAGGGAGGCAGAACTGGACAATGGGCAGACCCTCCCCCTCCTCCAGCCCCTTTGTGCAGATGGGGCAGATGGGGGCAGGAGCTGGCCCTGACTACACATGAGCAATGCCCGGGTGCAGGTAGTGCTCAGCTGGCACGGAGCAGAGTAACCCGCACCTGTGCCCATTGCTACCTGCTAATTTGGAGGGTGGGGTGTCAGGGCAGGGGTGTCAGGGTACAGTCCCCTTCTCAGGGACCACAGGCAATCGGAGTCAGCCAGAGCAGCCCCAGGGGCAGTCTGAGAACCAGGGACCGTAACTGGCTCCTGCCGGTCCCCTCTCCTCGCTCCCCGACTAGAAATAATGTGCGTCCAGCTCAAAGGTCTCCAAGATCTCTCCCTCCAGGAAGAGATTTCATGACTGCAGTGATGCCGGGTGTGAGCCCAGCCAGTGCTGAGCGTGCACAGTTCTTGCAGGCTTGCATTGGAGCAGAGGGCACTCAGCTCCACACAGGATTGGGGCTGTGAGCTGGGACATGACTGTTGGAGCCCTGGATTAGATGGGGACTGCTATAAATGTTGCTGTCCCATGACTGCCCCTATGCTTTGTGGACCAGGCATCGCTCAGGCCCATCCCAGAGCCTGGGACCTTGGTCAGTCATTCTGTCCCAGGTCTCAGGGGAGAGCACAGACCCAGAACAAAAGGGCCCCGGTGCTAGAAGGGGACAAACAGTCTGCTAGAGACACACAAAACCCTGGGCCAGGCACAGGCAGGCCTGGGCAGGAAGGCGAGGTCGTGGCTGGCAGCTGCGGGGGGAGGGGCTGGTTTAATTGTTGGACTAGACGAGTTCAGGGAAGCTGAGCTGAAGAGCTCTGTGGTTCAAAAAACCCCTGTGATGTGCAGAAAGGGATCCCAGAGCCTCACAGGGCTGCTCTGTACCACAGCCGCACCAGGTCCCAGCATCAGTAGCCCGTGAGTGCCCTCCTCCCCTGTCTTGCATGCGTACCAGCCCAGCCTCTGGCTTTTTCACTATCCCTTCCATCCAGGACGAGCACACACCAACTGCAGAAGCTTCCTCAGTCTGATGAAGGGTTTTTGAACCCAAAAGCTTGCTAAGAATTTTTTCCCCGACTATTTAAGTTGGTCTAATAAAAGATATCAGATTCACCCAAAGCACCTTGTCTGCCTGAGTCCTTAGTCCAGCATGGTTACAACGTACATCCCTCCCCACCTGAGACATCCGACCCAAGCAAGACACAGGAGTTCAATGTGAGGCTTTCCCGGAGGAGGAGTCAGGATTGGTGCCAGGGGTGAGGCAGCTGGAGTGGGAGGTCCCAGTGCTCAGGAGCTGGGGCAAGAGAGATCCCCATGCCCTGGCCTCTGCCTTGGCCTCCAAAATCTGTCAGTGGATCTGCTGGGAAAGGTGCAGCCAGGGATCAAGCTGACCCATGGCAGCACGTGGGCCTGACCCTGCATGTGCTGCGTGGGGAAGGCAAGAGGGGCTGAGGTCCCAGGCCTGCCCTATGGAGGGTGCTGGGAGTCAGGGCTGGGACCAGGAGCCTCCCCAGGATGATCCCTACAGAGCCGTCCTCTCACAAGTCCTCCCTGGAGATGGGGAGGGAGCGGTTTGATTTTCAGAGTGTTTTCAACTATGCTGGTGTCGGTAGAGCCAGTAAAAAGTCACTTACCTCCCACTGTCATATATCTTGCTGCAAAGTGAGCGAAAACAAGAATTAATGTGGAGCACCACAGACTCCCCTGGCCCCATCCCAGATAAGGGCAGCAGCCCGTCAGACGGTACAGAGCCAGGAGCAGGCTGGCATCCAGGGGTTTAAGGCAGAAGTGCACAAGCAGCAGTTTTTGCTGGTGGGGTGATATCTTTTATTGGATGAACTGCACAGCTGGGAGAAAGGAGACCAGAAGAGCAATGCCTTGTGTTCAAAAGCTTGTCTAACGCAGTCCCAGACATGCAGCTGGTCCAATAAAAGATACCACCCCTGAAATTCCTCGCCTCTTGCATGACTCCTGGACCGTCAAGGCTACAATATCACTCTAACACCACGGAGGACTGAACTCGACACAGAACTAGACCATGTGTGTTCACTCCTTTATGCAAGGCCTGTCTGTGTGCACCCGGGATCTCCTTGTCCTGTGGCCCTGACAAAGCACAGGGCTCCTGACCAGGCTGCCACCTTGGTGGGTGCAGGGGAAAAGTGTAGTTTAAGTCTTAACGATTAAAGTGTGAAGGGTCCGTCCTGGTCCCCGGGCTGAGGCAGTAGAGGGTGAGGTCCCAGCACTCAGAAGAGGATGCTACACGCAGACTGCACCATCGAGGACAGATGTTAACACAGAACTAGACCATGTGTGTTGAGATCCTTTATGCAAGGCCTGTCTGTGTTCACCCAGGCTCTCCCTGTCCTGTGGCCCTGAAGAACCACAGGGCCTCCGAGAGGGCTGCCACCTTGGTGGGTGCAGGGGAAAGGCCTTGCTTAAGCCTTAAGGCTTACAGTCTGAGCGGTCTGTCCTCATTCCCGGGCTGAGGCAGTTGAGGGTGAGGTCGCAGCACTCAGAAGAGCATGCTACACACAGACTGCACCATGTGCTGGTGCCTCGAGCCCCTGAGCTGGAGGTAATGACTTGGGGCCACCATGGCACTCAGGGGAGCAGGATGGGTACAGAGGGAGTGAAGAGGGACGTTTCCCTTGTTTCCAGACTATGGAGCCCCTGGTCTATACCAGTGACAGGGACCCCACATTTGGTGGCAGGGGCAGGGCCTGCATTTGGCCTCTGCCTGGGCCCCATGTGTATGACACTGGCTCTGCTGCTGAGCGTACAGCAGGGGATTTATGAGCCCCATGACAGCACGTGGGTCTGACCCTGCTTGTGCTGTGTGGGGAAGGCGACAGGGGTCACGGTGCCCAGGACTGCCCCTAGCAGGCACTGCAGACATGGCCGGGGCCTTGCAGCACACTCAGGATTGGGCCCATTCATACAGTTATGTCCTTGTTAGGAGGCCTCTGGAGACGGGGGGGGACGGACACGACATGTGGTTGGTTTTCCAGGTGTTTTCAATGTGGGCAGGGGGCCAGCAAAGCTAGTAAAGGGCACTTACCTTCCACTGCCTTGTACTTCACTGTAAAGGGAGAAAGAACAAGAATTAATGCGGAGCCCAGCAAACTCCCTGGTCCCCCCCAGACAAGGGCAGCATCTCCCTGTCTGCCAGTGCAGACGTTGGAAGCAAGTTGCCGTCTGGGTAAGAAACATGTGAGTGGCAAGGACTTTTTGGGGATAGGTTTATATGAACTGTACAGCTGGGAGAAAGAAGAACAACACCTTGTGTTCAAAAGCTACCTTGATCCCAGCTCTGCAGGTTGACACTGAGCTAGATAAAGTGTGTTCAGGTTCTCTGTGCACGGCCTGTCTGCGTGCACCCGGGCTCCCATCCCATGGCCCAGAAAGCCGCCACCTTGCCGGGCTCTGGGGAGAGGCGATACTTCAGGTTTGAGGGGCAGAGACTGAAGCGTCAGTCCTGGTCTCAGGGAAGAGGCAGGTGGTGCGTGAGGTCCCAGGACTTGGGAGTTTACACAATGGGGCTCTCAGGGCCCCGAGGACCAGGCAAGAGGGCGAGCTGGATGGTCCTAGAAGTGATGCTGGATGTGAGCCCAAGCGGTGCTGAGAGTGTGCAGTTCTTGCAGGTTTGCATTGGAGTAGAGGGCACTCAGCTCCACACAGGATTGGGGCCGTGAGCTGGGACATCTCTGTTGGAGCCCGGGATTAGGTGGGGACTGTTATGAATGTTGCTGTACCACGAATGCTGCTCTGTCCCTATGCTTTGTGGACCAGGCATCGCTCAGGCCCATCCCAGAGAGTGGGACCGTGGTCAGTCATTCTGTCCCAGGTCTCAGGGGAGAGCACAGACCCAGAACAAAAGGGCCCCGGTGCTAGAAGGGGACAAACAGTCTGCCAGAGACACA